ACGTGACCTTTGACTCAAGCGTAACGAAACCGATTACTGCAAGAAAACCCGGAAGAAAAGCAAACGCTTCGTTATTTTGAAACATTTTCTAGTGATATCCCTCCGAAACTATTATTGCAAGAAACGATTTCCAGATATGAAATCTTACAGGGTCAAAGAAGGAGCTAAAGGGCGCAGTTTGACGCAAGAGCTTTGTTCGCTGAGAATTGCCGGAAGTCAATGACCGTTCACGAATTCCAGTGAAATTTGCGAACTTGAAGTATGTTAGCCGATACTTACGTGAATCTTTATACTGATTTATAAGAGAGTAGTCTTCTTAGATTAACCTTCAAAAGAAGCTGGATCCACATTTGGAAACAAATGTTTAATGTTCCGTGATCTGCCCGCTGCTATAAATTCCATCATGCCGACCGCATGTTTGTCGTAAAACCAACTGAACTCCACTGACAGTTTCCATAGGCAACCCCAAAATAAACAATTCCGCAAAATGTAAAGTGAAATTGGCTGTCCTCATGAACAGTTAGATGCTAGAGTCAAGTTCCATTACCTTTAAAAAGTGCTTGATTTTACTTGTTTGCGTCGACTTTGTTCACTCCGTATTTCTTACTGTCACGTTCGAATACCGCGAATCGGTCACGCCAAAGTACTGCAGACCGTGCAGACTTGTTTGGACCTTTAATTTTGACTCATTTTTTTTGGCGCTAGTTACAAAATGGTGTTCAATATATCTGAAAGTTTGTCATTTATCCACAGGCCTCACAAGCGCAATATGTGACTTTTGATTCAATAGACAAACGCGTAAAAGACTTTGTATGGGAAACTTACTCAGTCTGCACGGTCTGCAGTGTTTTGGCGTGACCGATACGCAGTATTCGAACGTGACAGTAACTACTGAGTGAACAAAGTAAAATCAAGCACTTTTTAAAGGCAATGGAGCTTGTCTCTAGCTTCTAACTGTTCACGAAGACAGCCGATTTCACTTTACATTTTGCGGGATTGTTTATTTTGGGGTTGCCCGTGGAAACTGTCAGTGGAGTTTAGTTAGTTTTAGGGCAAACATGCGGCCGGCATGTGCATGGAATTTATAGCAGCGGGCAGACACGGAACATTAAACATTTCTTCTTTTAGAAATTTCCAAAGCTGGATCCAGCTTCTTTTGAAGGCTAATCCAAGAAGACGATTCTGCTATAAATATAAATATTCAGTTAGTATCGGCTAACATACTTCAAGTTCGCAAATTTCACTGGAATTCGTTTTAACGGTCATTGACTTCAATTCCCATCAAACAAAGTTATTGTGTCAAAATGCGCCCTTTAGCTCCTTCTTTGACCCTGTAAGATTTCATATCTGGAAATTGTTTCTTGCAATAATGGTTTCGGAGAGAAATCACTAGCAAATGTTTCAAAATAACGAAGCGTTTGCTTTTCTTCCGGGTTTTCTTGCAGTAATCGGTTTCCGTTACGCTTGGGTCAAAGGTCACGTTTTCAGGAAGAAGTGCTGCATTTAGTTCGCTATCTCAACGCTCGCGATTTTATTTACCCAAAAATTTTATTTCACTAATTTGAAAAAGAAACAATGCTCTTTCAGACCAAACTAGTCGTTTTGGGAAAAGCCGTGTACCAGAACGCCTTTTTAGCATTTCAAAATAGGCTAAATGTAGTCCTCTTGTTAAGCTGTCTTGGATTGTTACTTTGAAAATTCGTCAAATATTTTAGTTCTAATCAAATTGCGATCTGTTTAGCTCTAAATATACAAGAAAGGAAGTACAAATACAACGTGCAGTCAGTTTGCTATGAAGATTTTTACTTTTGAGTTTACGAGCCTCTGAATATGCCGCTCATTTTCGATCGATTTTGGTCGATTTGGGGCATCGAAATGAAAAAGTTGCGTAAAAAAAATAAGTTTTGATTTATCGAACTTAAAACAATATTTTTGTAAGTAGTACCCGTAGGGCTTCAGTCTGGGCGAGTTTGGCGCTATTTCCAAGTTTAGTTGATATTTAGGCGAAGCTGCTCTTAATCATTTCCTTTGTTTTCAAATAATTAAACAAGATTACCGCTGTCATATGTTTCAATTCAATGAAGTTTTGATCTACTTGTTTATATTCTCTGAGTTTCACCATTTCAGTCCATATTCATCGGCTCTTCAGATTTGTTTCTGAAATCCGTTTTTAGTGACGACGTTCTCAAAAGTTAATTCTAAATTGTCTCGTGTTCAGGATAAAGTATACACATTTCCAGTAACCAGTCCGGCGTTTATTGGGATCAGACAATTAAATCATGGAAGTAGGTCGTCTCACCTTTTCGCAATTGCAGCAATTTGACAGCTTACGCTACACATGTGCACTCATGCCGCTTGACATTTCACGACCTATGACGTAACCACTGTAAACGGGTTTATCATTTCACCGGAAGTAAGCCTGTTTTTCAGCCCAAGCGCAAATTTTCGTTTGTCCGTTTGCTCAGAAGTCTCAGAAGTGACTGAGAAGACGTTAAGTGCAAGTCAAATATAGTTTGGGTTCTTGCTTTTGAAAGTATTCTAACGCATTGTTGAATTAAAAAAATTAGCCTTTCGCCTTTCTCTCCCGCTTCCCGCCCTCTTAGAACTCCCGCTTCCCGCCCTTTCCTCTCCCGCCTCCCGTACCCCTCCCGCCCCCTATTCTCCCCGGCTCCCGCCCCCCTGTCCTCCCCCACGTGATAATAGTTCTTGTTTATGATCAGTTTTGTTTCTGTCCAACGCTCTTTCAACTGAAACACAAGATAAATTTGTTTTTTAAACTGTTTTTCGCTGTTTTATTTTTTTTTCCACTTTCTTCTATACTAAATCCAAATTAGCCAGATGGCTAGAAATGTGGTCCTGTGTTTTCTGCGTAATGCATTTCAGTTATTGTGTTCGCTGATTGCCAGGCATACATATTGTTATTTATGAGAATTTCGCGGTAAATTAACACGATAATTTATTCACTTGTCAGTGATTTTCACAGGTCTGTCTACTTGATAACATAACTAAATTTTTAGCAGAATGTAATACGTACCGGTTTTTCACAAGTCGTTGTCATTCCCTGCTATTAAATCTGCAGCACATTTGACAATAAATATGGCATCGACCACCTCCGTTGTTTATTCGAGTAACTTTGGCTTCTACTCAAGGAGGGGAAATTGTTCTTAAAGACTGTTTCAATACTAGTCTAGAAAGAACATGGAAATTAATTTGTAAATTTATCAAAGACATAGAATTCCTGGCAACTTTATTTTTGAAAAAGCGAGTTAAATTGTGACACTATATTTAAAAATCTAGCATGTGCTATTGTGCCTTGTTGATACGGTTGAAGATGAAAATTCTCTAGCATGGGCATTTTTAATTAGCGAAAAAAAGATGAATATGAACCCTTTCGAAACGTTATACCATGGTAGTACATTGACGGTACTAAAACAGCTTGCACTTTGAACGTTAACTGCATATCACATTTCTAAGCCTAGTTATCTTTGTTATTGATAACTCATCCTCTAGAAAAGTAGGAAAAGATGGTCAACTCACAAGTGTTGAAATCGTTACCAAAAGATGACAGCAAACTAATACCCAAAGGCTAGATCTTTTCACTAAACTTTCATAACTTAAATAATATCTTCAGACAAATTATGCTCTAGACGGTGAGCTGGATAACATACAAGTTTTGAATATCGTTACCTAAATAAGAGACCCAACTCATGCCCAGGGGCAAGATCGTTTCATCTGCCAGATAAGTTATCCTCTAGAGGATGGATAAGATATAAGAGACCCAACTCATGCGCAAAGACAAGATCGTTTCACCTGCGAGATAAGTTATCCTCTAGAGGATGGATAAGTCACGATAACTTACGAGTGCTGAATTCATTAGCTAAATAAGAGACCCAACTCATGCCCAGAGGCAAGATCGTCAGTTCACTTAACTAGATAATTTAGAGGGTGAAAAAGATGATTAATTCACAAGTGATGAATCCGTTACTAAAGATGACACCAAACTTCAGCTTTGCCCAAAGGCTTGATCTTTTCACTTCACTACATATTGAGGATCTCCTTGACAGCTACATTCCGGAACGTTATCTAAGATCTGCAAAAAAAAAAAAAAAATTACTCGCCCTGCCTGGTTTCAAACTAAATAGTTATGGCCGCCGTGCTTTCTCTGTTGCTGCGCCGTTGCTTTGGAACAGTATTCCACAACATGTTAGGGATGCAGAATCGCTGGACATATTTAAAAGAGAGCTGAAAACAGTTTTTTTTAAGTGTGCCTTTTTAAATTAAACATTTTAATTAATCTTCTAGCTTTTTACTTGTTTTCGTAATATGAATTTTTAACCTTGCAAATAGCGCCTTTGGACCCTTAGGAAAGGGCGCTTTAGAAATGTTATTATTATTATTATTATTATTATTATTATTATTACATAATTTTAAAAAAAATCTTTGACATAAGTTATCCTCCAATAGGTGGAAAAAGATGAATAACTCAGAAGTGTTGAATTCGTTTCCTGAAGATGACACCGAAGTAATGCCCAAAGGCAAGAGAAGATGATTTTCGTCCGTTGCCAAAAGTTAAATCTTTTAATTTGACTTCATAATTTAAAAAGATATTCTCTCAGATTTAGGTAGAAAAACTTACGAAGTCGGCGAAATGTATTCTATAATCGGAGTGAATTTGAACTATTATTTATATTTTAATCTTTTTATATAAGAATTCTTCGTTTTCCTTCTGAAAAATCACGTTTAATTGTAGAGAATATAGTAACAGATGGAAGAGGAATATAATGGGAATGGGAAATGATGATAAATAAAGACTGAACATAATAAACCTTTGAGGAAACTCTCTGAATATCTCACAGTGACATAAATTTAAACATATTCAGATTCAGATTTTTATTGTTTACACTATTTACAAATCTTTCGCTGAAAATACAGAAATGGAAAATGGACAAAGGCATAAAAGAAATAGTATTTCTTTTCATCTAAGCTAGTTACAAATCTTCATCAAATGTCGGAATTTTTATTGTCTTCTTATATTCTGTTATTCGCATATTGCATTCCATATTTCTATATATATTTCAAATTCTGTAATTTTTCATGTTACATTATTGACATTAGGTTTGTCTATATTCCACCAATTCTGGTAAGGAAACGTTTTCTCGATTTACTGAAACATAACAACACGAACGGCATCTCCCAAGAGAAAAATGGCACAGCCTTTCCAGAGCGTTACGAAAATTAGTACTAAATGAAAATAAAATGACGGGATTGATAGCTGTACTAAGCGATGGTAACACAAAGTGCAAAAATCCGCGAATGATCCTGCACTCGTCTATTGCGTGAAATTCGTGTAAAGTGACCAGTAAAATAAGATGTAAGCCAAAAAGACAAAAACAAACAAAGAACGCTACAACAATTGATCTAAATATCTTCAATACGTTCTGGTTCTCCTTGTTTCTGTTTTGTTGTGAGGAACTTACCTTGCTCACTTGCGCTTGCTGTCTTCTTTTTAAGGTGCGCATAATGCAAGAATAAGTAATGACGATTACAATCAATGGAGTAAAGTTATACATGACCACCGAGCCTATGAAGAAACTCATCAACGCCAAACTATCCCATCTAACTGTGCAAAAAATTATCTGGGGACCGATTTCTGCTAGTCTGGAAGCATGGAATATAAGAATGCATTGCGTTATTGATATCAACCACGTTGCAAACAGTAAAGCTGCTTTCACTCTTAGCTTAACGAGCGTGGCTTTTAAGGGAAATACAGTGGCGATGAATCTGTCGACAGCGATTAACAGGAGGCTTAGAATAGATACTGTAAGTGACAACATTCTAAAATACGATCCTACTTTACAACCAATAGTTGCCAGAGGATTTTGGATCAGGCTTCCATTCCTTGCCACCATCTCTTCAATAAGGTACAACGGCCAGCTCGTAAGACTTGCAAGAATATCGGAAACCGCCATGTTGACATAGTAGTAGTTGGTGCTTGTTCTAAGCCTTGGTGTTTTGTACACTGCAATGATCACTAGGATGTTACCAGTGAAAGCTGCTAAGCTGATGACCGACATGACGGTTGTGAAGAAAATAGAAACAGCGTCCGAGCACGTTGAATGTCCACTGGCATCCGTGTGAGTGGAGTCAACCTTCCTGAACTTAATTGAACACGGTTGTGTTATGTTCTCTTTGGTTTCTTTCCTTGATGGTAAATACAAACTAAAGATAGTGCAAAAAATGCGCTCCTCGGTTATTTGTGTAATGTTAGCTCAAAGCATCAATTGGTTCTCTTCGTCGCCTGCCACAGCAGTTCGAATCGATGTTTGCGCTGGGAATTTTGGTGGTCGATGTTTTTCTCTGTTCTCTCGTTAGCTGTCTACTGGATAATGTATGTCTAGAGAATTAACAATTTTCCTGGTAAGTGAATTGTCGCAGTTTGACAGGTATCGCTCCCCACGCCACATCCTCATTGACAGGTATGAAACACGAAATTTAAATTTTGCAGCACCTGTTCAAAGCGGCTTCAGAGACAAAATACGCAAAATGAAACAAATTAAATTATATGCGATCATCATCTTGCTTTAAGGTTTTAAGGTTGCACATTAGCACAAAAATAAGCACCATATTCAGAGGTAGTGGAGTGCTACATAGTAGCAGCTTTTGTTAGAAGATATATACCTAACAAAAGGTTGTAATTATCAATATTGTACTGCTTCTGCGTATGTCGGTTTATGCTGATGCTAATGCACAAGTGAAAACCAGCCTTTATAGTTTAAATAGGAAATGAATACCGCCAAATAAATTACAAGCCATGTTCTTTGTCAAAAGCGTACTTTCCTGTTGCAGATTTTGCATAGTGACGTTTAATTAGTCGTAATGTACTTAAAAATACCAAGATTTGATGGATTATTGACAGAACAACAGTAAAACTTCCACCGCATTTAATTATTAGGAATCCACTTGGAAAGCCTTTGTTTTCAATTTGGACGTTGCAGCTGTTGGGACGTCATCAGTTAAGACTAATTGCATTAAAAGCAAGATGCTATTTTTCCCAGAGTTGGCGAGGGAAAAAGATGTAAAATATTATGTTAAAGAATTACTGCCAGTGTAAGATTTGATACAGTTTTTTAAGCCTGCTCGTCTTTTCAAATTCCTAAAGAGTCCGTTTCAAATTAGCCTGAAATGTTAGTGATCTCCTTCCCTCAGATTTCAGGCTAATTTCAAGTGATCAGGAATATGATAGCATCGGAAATTGAGATAATCAGAAAGTCAATGGAAAAGAGAAATGAAGAGGCAAACAAGAATTAGAGAAAGACGTTCACAAGTGGAATGATGTGTCAAAATAAATCATATTTTTTTTTCTGCCAATGAAGCAATAGTGCAAACAGTTCAAGTTTTACATTTCAGTGTTATTTTGGCAGTGAAAGAAGTTCTTCACGATGAAAATTGCTGTTGATGTCCTGTTCTACGGCCTTCCCAGAATCATAGAACTTATAAAGCGAAATAAACAATTATATTTTACGATAACAAATTTCGCGGTCGTTTAGTTCTACAATAACTCCAAAATTCAAGAGGGGAAAAGGCAGCCTGTGTTTTGTAAGTGCCCTTTAGTTACTAAAATGTCTTAAGTATCATTTCGTTCTCTGATCGGCAGAATTATCTTAATTAGCATAGATTTTTACGATTTTATTTCTCCGGTTTCTCCTAAGTTTGGTATCAATTGTGAAGATAGAATAATTGTTCAAGACAGTGTCTGACCAAATTTTCAAACACCTCGAAGTTCGTCAAAGGTACTTCTTTATACGCGTGGTATTTTCAACTTTCTTTTCGGTGTTTGGAAATGTGATCAAACACGGTCTTTCCTGCTTGATCTATGCACAGTCGGTGCAGAGAATTTGGTGGTCGGATCTAAATAACACTTGGTTGATAATGACTTATATTATTCTCGTCATCTGTTACCTCCTAAATTTATTGATCAGATGTCCTCTATTATTTAAGAAATAGAAAAAGTTTCAATGTTTCTATCGAGTTGTAGAAACACAAGTGGAACTTGGGAGAAAGAGAAATGCTGCGAGAACAAGAGCCGACAAATTTTCAAATTTCCACCAGTGTTTCTATAACTGGAAAGAAACGCGGAGAACATGTTTTCTATTTCTTTTAGAATATACCGCAACGAAACAAAAGAAGAGAACTTGTTTTTGTCGTAATCAAAATGTAGATTATCTTTGCTCGTGTCATCATTACGTCAACAGCTTGTTCTCTTTCTGTGCTTATATCGAGTTTTAGAATAAATCTACTAGCGTTTTATAACGAATGCAGTCCTCGTGCGTACAGTGGAACCTCCCGTAAGCGACCACCTAAAATGTAAAGTCTGGGTGGTCGCTTACGGGAGGTGGTCGCTTACGAGGGCTTAGACCATGTTGGGCTAAGATTTTGCCTCATTAGCATATGGTAACTGCAGAGACTTACTCCAGGTTTTTATTGTTTTTCATGTGAAAAGTCATTTCGAGAACAAATCCGGTACTTGCCATGGAGAAATTTCCGTCTCTTGAACTTCCCAGGAATACAATAATGTTTCAACACCTTATTATCCAAGTTATGCTTTATCTGTCAAGCGGTCGCTTACGGGAGGTTAAGAACAAAAGAGAATTTCAAACTTTTAGTTCTAAAAGTGGTCGCGGTCGCTTACGAGAGGTGGTCGCTTACAAGAGGTTCCAAATATAGAGATTTGACTTGGAAACTTTTCGCATTTTGGAAAACTGGTCGCTGAGGAGAGGTGGTCGCTTACGAGAGATGGTCGCAACCGGAGGTTCGGAGGTTCTTTGAGCTGTTTTGTAATAGGCATTAACTGGTCAGGATACTAGTGTTTGCATTGGTCCAATGCTGTATCTGATCTGTGAGTTAGGAAGCCTAATTCAAAGAAAAGCGCGAGGGTCATTTTACCTGCTGGTTTTAAAGTGTTTGGTGAGTGTATGCTCGTGATTGAAAAGAGTCCGAAATTCTTGTCCGAAACGAGATAAACACCCGAAATTTTTGTAAATAGTGTAAGCTAAATAAATGCAGAAAGTTAGGCAGATAGGTAGGTAGCATATGTGGTAGAATATAGAGGTTCCGTAACTGAGTTTGTTGTTCCTTTGTCGGTTTAGCTGATCATTTTTCTACGGTACGAGGAATTAGCACAAAAACACACATTGTCGTTTCGATAATGATCCTGTCTTTTAATACTTATTTATCTCAATTTAATACACCGATCATTTTTGAATGTCCATTTATCGCTTCAAAACTTGCACTGTAGTTACTCCACGATATCAACCCCTCCATGGACGCCAAATTTAAACTGGGACCACCAGTTCACTGAGCCTTGAGTGATGTGGCAGTTGCTGGCCTTGGCAACAATATCACTCTCAGAGAGAGCAGCGCCCCTTACATTCACTTCTGTCACGTCTCCGACGAAGGCCTGCGATGCCACAGAGACTCCTCCAACTTCGTCTTGGTCCTGTCCAATCACGGTGGTACCAACAGATCTAATCTTGCCGCCCACATTCATGCCTGTACCCCTGCCCACGGACACCCCATCTTTGTAGAACTCATAATCTCCGTTTCTGTCCCTCCACGTAAAGCAGATGTGATCCCATTCGCCGTCGTCTAAACCAACGTTAGCATCCTTTTCAAAAAGAAGAAATGTAGAAAGATCAATCACAGTTTAAGTAGCGGAGATATACCATAGGGAAGTACAGTTATCCAGGAAATTTTATTCTTTAATATTTTTGCAGTGTTTTTCACACTGCACATTAAACATTTCCCATGCTAATTAGTTCACAACCGACTAATGAGTTTTTCAAACTTTACTCAAGTCTTTCAGCCAATACCATCACGGTTAAAATGACCAATCAGTTTTAGTAAGAATCTTAGCACAATCGACTGGCAAACACTATTCACTTGAATCTCAAGATGCCATGACGTAATGTATCACAAGCTACTGGGACATTTTCTTCACGTGACTTGTTGAGTGTGAAGACAGCACAATAAACATATCTCATTAGATGTTTTGATGTGTAGTATCGCTGTATATTTTTACGAGTAGTGCCGTATTTTGACGAGCCCTATAAAATACAAAAAATTACGAAAAATTGCATTTTCGACTTTTTTCAATTACCTACCAACCTGCCTGCCTGCCTGAGAACCTGATAGTGGTCTTGCGGAATAAATAAACGTCACTGGAATTATAGTTTATTGTTTCATTCCAGCGATCAGGTTTTACACATGGCTGAGAATTTGACACATGTACAAGTGTAAGTGCGAAAATGAAATAAATATAGATTTCGATTTTGCCTTAATAGATTGCAGCATTAGCAAAGATGGATGTATATCTAATACAATCAACCTCACTAGAGTTATTCATCATGATATCATAGTTATTCTTTAAGTTCTGTTGTACGATCTTTTCAACCTGCGGCACAATAGGCAATATACGTATTCTCGGCATTGGACTGGGACTAGCTTGAAATAGAGGCTCATGCGGAGAAGTATCGTTTGTATTTGGAAACACTCCTCGCATCAGCCTCAGTTTCAAGCTAGTGCCAGTCCAATATCGAGAATAGGCATATAGCCTATTAAAAGTGTCTTTTTATCGTGCCAAATTTCGTTACTCGTTGCCTTCAACTTTACCGAAAATCACTCAAAACTATCCAGTTGGAAAATTTGGCTCTGTATGTATTTTTTTATTGTTAGATGTATTAACCCTATTCAGACCCCTTCCCCACCCCTCTAGAATTTCCCATCCCTTTCGTTGGGGGGGGGGGGGGTGGGTGGGGGAGTATGGATATTTTCTGGAACCACACATGATAAAATCTGTGCTGTATATTTAACATTACACATCCAGGCAACTGTAATAACTATGATTTCCTCTGTTTTAAACAAATTCATGAATCAGTAAAGAATAACTGATATATTTTCTCAACATAACCAGAACACAATATTCTTTTTCATCATANGGGGGGGATGGGTGTTGTAGGGCCCTCACCATGTAACTCTTAAAACATATTATAACGACAAAACTTGGAAAAATTTTAGCACGTGCAAAAGGATTTCCTTTGAGTTCCACAATAGTAGAACGAGGACGCGATACAACCTGGAATTGACGTCATTACTGTCCAACAGCCGCCATCTTGGATCCGCCACCTTTGAGTTTTCGATTTGTAACAAAATGACAGTAAACCGCCAAAAATGGCTGGAAAATATCCAAAATCAAAACCGACAGCTAAAAATAATTAATAAAATATAAATTAAAAAGTTAAAAGAGATTTCATTTATTAAAACAAAGTTTAACCTTTGAAAGTCACACCTGTACGTCAAAACATGGTTGCCGTGGAAAAATCTAGGTCCTTTACAAATGAGGTCATGTTAAATTGATGCAAGACAAATTTTAGGAGCAGTAGTTGAATTTGGAAATCCCCCCATTTCTTAATACTTTTAAGTTATAAGCCTGAAAGAGATGGCCAGGGCCGGAGTAAGGGCTAAGAGGGCAGTAGGAAGAATAATGATAAAAACATTGAGCTTTGTTTATTTTTATTTCGTTTGTTTAAAATAGTGGTATATTCTACAGGCATATTAACTTTTAAACAGTAAATTTGTTTCTACAATGTTTCAACGAACAGAAAGAAACCAAGTTAAAGGACCTTGGGATATTTGCTTTAACTTTAAGATATTTATCTTTTTTTTTCGTTTTTTCGGTCATTTTAAAGTTGACTCGGCTAGGTCGTTCTGTAACTCATTAGTTCTGTTGGGGAGATATTCCTACGGCGCACTGAAACAAGACAGGACGATCGAAATTTACAGAGGGTAAAGATCTTCAGGTTTTTAAGAACTTGGCGAAAATAACTGCTAAATGAAAACAAAATGACAGGATTGATTGCTGTACTAAGGGACGGGAATAGATAATAGCAAAACCCTCGAATCAATTTGCACTTGTCTGCGATATTAAGAGTATCTGAAGTAATTTCCAAAAGGGAATATATCCCGTATGGAGAAAGGCAAATAAAATACGCTGCAACAATCGATTTAAATATCTTCATTACATTTTGGCTCTACTCGCATCTTTTTCGTTGCAAGTCATTTCCTATTGCGCTGCAACCTGGTTGAGTTCTTCTTCTTAAAGCGTTCATAATACGAGAATAAAGAATTATAATCACAACCAGAGGTGCAAAGTTGTACATAATCACCCCGGATGTGAATCCTATCTGCATTCCCAAACTATTGCCAGCATATAAGCAGAATGTCTTCTGGCCGACTTCCGAGATTCCGTAAAAGTAGAAAATAGGGGTACAATTGGCTAATGGTATCACCCACGTAGCAAGCAAGAAAACTGCTCTTACTTTCGGTGTAATCAGCGTAGCTGCTTTTAAGGGAAATACAGTGGCGATGAATCTGTCGACAGCGATCAACACCAGGCTCAAAATGGATACTATTTGCGACACCAGTCTGAAATACGATCCTACTTTGCAACCAAAAGTTCCACTGGGACCCTTCAAACCCTGGAGTAGACTCCCTCTGATCTCGTCAGTAAGGTACAAGGGCCAGGTGGTAAGACTGACTAGAAAATCGGAAACCGCCATGTTGACAAAGTAGTAGTTTGTACTCGTTCTTAGGATTGGTGTTTTGTACACTGAGATGATCACCAGAATGTTTCCAATGCAAGCTGCTGAGCTGATTATGGCCATTGCCGTTGTGAAGAATATATAAATTTCATTTGGACAGGACGAGTATTCACCGTTGAGGCAGATGTGAGTGGAGTTGTTCATGACCTTCGTTTACGCTCTGTTTTGATTCTGTACAAACTTTAAAAAGAACCAGTTTGGCCTCTTTAGTTCCTTTGATTATTAGCACGATCTAGAAAGATTGCGAAAACGCGTCCCTGTGTTTTCCGTGTTATGTTATCTCAAGTCTTAATTTATTCTGTTCGCTGATTTACCGAGCATATATATTGGTTTTAGCTCTAAGAAATCAAAATAATATTCGCTTATCGTTGTTCATCTGATCTTATAACACGGCTTGTGTTGGTAGCCGATATAATGCGCGCTCTGATTGGCTAATTCTAGGAAATTACGTATTCTCCCGTAATGCCCACTGGCCGATTACGTGCCTGTAAAAACAAAGGAAAGATAGTAAAAGAGCTACTGCTTTATTTCTGAAAATTGTAGCGGCTGAAAACGATAACTTACGAGGAACACTCTGAGAGTGAATGCTATTACTCTGACGAGCTACAATTTCAGGAGAACAGCGAATTCACAGCGTTAAATTACGAACGAGTTGGTGCCCATGGTGCCGGACAGGACGAGGAAAGCACCCAAATAGCTTTTTAGAAGCCCTATAATAAGCCACTTATTAACCTCCAACTTTCGGTCTTTACGGAAAAATTCAAGACCTTGGCCTTGCGTCCACACGGCAAAGTCTTGGTTTAAGATTATCCCATATATAACGACCTCACCTTCGGTCAAAAGTAGTTAATATTGCCTGTTCGCTTGATAATGCATGTCATTTATGATATTTTTAAGTGCACTTAGATGCTCATTACTTCTCGTTAGTTTCCGCTTAATGAATGTTTTGCAAATTGCCCAGTGACACATTGTCTTGGCCATATTTTAGATAAGGGAACAGAAGATGCAGATTTTTTTTTAAACCCAGGTGGAAGATTCTTGCGGCAGATAAACCAAAGTGATGACTTCACAGCAGCTACACGCTCAGAGGCAGGGAAATCTGCTTATCCAAAATGAAAACGGATGTTCGTCGTGATTTACCCAAGAGGGGGCTTTCACTACAGTTTTGCTAAAGTTTAAACTTAGTGGGAAACACTGCCACTATTTTGAGGTGTACGATAGTCACTTAGTAAGTTTATTCCTGTTTTCTCTTCCTTGCTAAGTGTATTGATAGTATCATGGTGCGCGATGAAAATGCTGTGATTCAATATTGGCCTTAGTACAATTCGGCTTTTTCCTCTGTTTCGTATACCTATACATGAGAACAAAGGAAAAAATAAACCATTGAAGCATAACAGATATATTTGCTCTGATGATAACTTTAAAGTTAACATGCGTAATATACCTTGAACCTTTACAGTATGCAAACACACGGGAAAAAGAGAACTTTTTCCGTCGTAACTCTCCAACTGATGAATATTCTAGATCGCGACAAGAAAGACGAATTAGATAAGTGGAGTGTTTTTATTTAATTAATGCTTCTCGAAGTGTGACTTTTTTAGTAGTGGTTTTTCAAAGGAAATGACTAAATGCTGTCAAATATACCAATGCTTTTATACTAGCGGTTTTTTTTTTTGTGAAGCTCAATTATTCACGATATTTTTCCAAATGCCTCAGTATGACGTTTGGCAGTTTTTTTTTTTTTTTTTACTGAATCGACATTTCCCTAGCACAGGTAAATAATAAGTATAATACATCTCACGATAACTAATGGTCGTTTTGCATAACCAAGCTTTTAAGATCGAGTAAAGGTAATTTACTAACAAATCTTTAATTTCTAATGATAAAATTCTGCACTAGATAATCAACGAAATTCTGCCCGATTAAGGTGGGAAAAAATTCTGACTTGGAGATTAATCCGGATGGGAATTTGAAAAAAAAAAAGCCGCAATTACTTGTTCATTTTCGCCTCTTTTAGCTTTATATTTCAAGCTAATAAATCTAGTTCATCAGAAGCAAATGGCAGGAGAATATCACGAAGGGAGACAAAAGAAATAAGATGTTACTAAAAAAAAATCACCAAATGATCCAAACAGAAACTATATTATTTTAGAACATTGACAAGGACGGAAGAGAACCAACGCATTGTTTTTGTACATCTTAAGTGTAATATCATGAAAATTTGGGATGGGGCCGAGGAAAAAAGTGATCGATGCGTAAATTTCTATTTATCTGTTTTGAACCTGAAAATTTTGAGCGAACAGGGGCAGCCACTGGGAATTTCAAGCTAACGGGTAGTCTGCTAGCTTCGCTTCCATATTTTTATCGTTTCTTTTATCTTTATAGCTTGAACCATTGAACCTCGTATAATAGCTGTATCCTTGAAAACTTACATGGATTTTAGATGTTATGTCATTGAGATTAATCGGGTTTTTTCTCCGTGATGTACGACACATTTCAAAGGATGTTGGGCTTTGTCATTTACCTGTATGTAATTATATTTTCCATTTAGCGGTATTTCGTCCTTTAATGTTACATCGATAAGGCCTGTCTACGTGACATCAATTTGTATCAGTAATTGGTCATCTGGTTTTTGATGCCATTGAGGACAGATGTCGTGAGCAACTTTTCCAAATTTCAACAAAATTGTACGAAGCCTTGTTGATCTTTTTAACGAAAAAATTCAGAGTGCGCAGTTGAAAATGTTATAGAAACAAATCAACAAAGGCAAAACCGTGTTGAAACCTTGTCGCCTCAATACCTCTCATGATCAGTTTAAATAAAAGGCTCATTTATGTAAACGTCTTGAGACAAATATGATTTTTTACGGCGTTCAATTTCCTATATCAAGAGCTTCAACTTTATAAATTGGAATCGAGCATTACATTGCTGGAAGATGTAGTTCACGGCTTGTCGCTTTTTTGTTGAATGGAATAAAGATAGCCTCTGTCTTTTCATGCCATTAGGCACGACATTTAGCGGTCAATGAATGGCAAAATAACATTGCTTATTGAGTATTGAATAAAGACAACAGATTATCAAGGTAAGAGCGTGAATCCCCCGGATAGGCCTTATAACCAAGATAATACCTTTTAAGTTATTTTTTGACATGGTACCCAGTTCTTCCGAGGATGTTACTCGCGCGATGCGTGGACATCCCAAGCGACGTTCTCGAAACTACCTGAGACGAAATGGCGGGAAATGTGGCGAAAAGTCATTTTATATGTTTTGATTTTCAAAAGACGTTTCATAGCAGAGATGTTTTCTACACTCCCAGCAGGCTTTTGTTCAACTGGGCTTTTGTTTGATTTTCGCTCGTTTAGCTGTTCATTATTTTCCCGTTTATTCGATTTCATGGCCGGGAGTTTAATAAGCAAGCCTTAACGGCAACGAGTACAATGGTTGTATAAGCGTGCGTTATAATTCTTTGTTCATTTCTTTGCCGTTCTTTACGAAACAACAACGTGAAATAGACACATTCTGCATAATCGTGAGGACCTTAACTACGACGGTCAATTTTTAAAATTTCTTTTTCGAATTTTGACGCTGTCTTACATATTCTGTTTGGGATGTTTCCGACAGTGATAGACAGACTGAATGAATATCTACATTCTCGCGAGATTCGTAGGTTGAACATAAAGTCGTATTTTTAATCGAAGTTGCCTTTGGCGTTGTTGCTCAAACTGCATTTTTCTTCTTGGGCGGCGAGCGTCCGTCGACACTTTCGACCATCCGCTTGCTCGGTTGCGTTGTGTTTGAGCGTTTGTTTGCTTTACACTCGTTTGTCTACTCATTTCTCTGCCGTTCATTCAGTTGTTATTGTTTAGTGCAGGGGACATCTGTCTCTAATTTAAACTCCTATTAAAGTTTCGAAATGTATTAAAGCATTGCGAGAACCGAAGTTCCTTTGCTTGTAACTAATATATTAAAGAAGACATTACCACAGCGTTGGAGGTTTGTCCTCGCTTTGAAACAAAACGAAAAGAAACGAAACATAAACAAATCCTCCACGAAAACATCCAAGCAACGTGCGAGTAACATCTGCGGAAGAACTGGGTACCAGGTCTAATAAAAACTTGTAAGGGATTACCTTGGGTATAAGGCCTATATGGGGGATTCGCTCTCTTACCGTGATATTTCTTGATAAAGACGAAATGGCAGGAATCTTCTTCGTCATCTGCTGAGGGATCACGTGAGATAGAAGAGTTCATGCGTACCTCCGTGCGGAACGATTGGGCGTGCTTCAAGGTTACGTCTGAGTGTGACAAATTACGAAAAATTGTGGATATTTATTTTCCCTTTCATCTCTTCGCGGCTTGTGGGCTGTACACGGCTGTCAGGAAGCATAACCACTTAGCTGAAGTACTTTAAGCAAGACCACGTGAATGGCAAAACCATCAACGACTCCTCAGCACCTAAAAGAAAAAACCAGAGGGTTTGTAGTAGTACCACAAGCACTGAAGATCCTAACAAGGAAGGCTCGCAGTACAAAAATTGTGATGCAAACTCTGGCTTTTTGGCGTGGGGACATTTTCCTGGTCTTCAATCGTTATCTTCCTCTTATTTGTTTTTTTGTTGCCTTATATGTCTCTTGGTTAAAAAGCTAAAAAAAAACTTTTCCTGGCTAAAGATGTTCTACAAATTATTAAATTTCGGTTAACAGAGAGTACGCTTCTTTGAAAAAGTATTTTAGCTTTTAAAAGGGGATCCCCTGAGAAACGTTTGTAAAACCCCTACTGGGATTTCCTGCCAACTACCTCATTGCCATGTAACAATGAGAATTGTAAGAAGCATAGGGCAAACAATATTATTGAAACTGAATAAAAGCAAAAAAATTGAGAACGTTTAACCCTGGGCCGGGTTGTTCAAAGCCCGATTAAGCTAACCCAGGATTAGCAAGAATTTTGATCTCAGTTTTGTAACTTTTCGGTGCGGTTTTCTGTTTATACTGTTTGTCCATCAGTTTTGAGCTTGACTAAGCTCAAACTACACAAAACTTAAGCAGTAAAAACAATTTTATACAAGAAAAATTAATAGTTCGGTTGACTTTTAATCCTGGGTTAGCGTTAACCGGCTTTCGAACGACCCGGCCCTGGTTCCTCTTCCATTTTTATCGTGCTTCTGATTGTCTCTACACAAATTTATAGAGCTCAGTGTGGAGACGCCATGTTTGATTCCTGCAAAGGGACACATAAACAGCAGCTGCAAATTAAATCAATGGAAACGTCTGGAATTTACTCAAGTCGCTATTAAAGCAATCGGTTCACCCTCGT